TGTTTGGCATCTTCGAAGTGGCGGCAGTAGTTTTGGGAGCATTCGTCGTCGTGACGTTTACTACGGGAGGTGCCACGACAACAAATGCCTTGAGCGCATTCCATACATTCAACAGCCCCGCCACATTATTGGGAAAAGATTATTTTCGAGCAAACGATGGATTATTTCCGAGCGAGGCTTTGGGATGATATAGCATTTTAGAGCGTACTTAGACTGTTGCAGCCTTTTCGAGCGTACTTAGTGGGGACATAAGATTGTTTTAGAGCATTACAGATATTACCTAATGTGACATCCCTCTGTTACGCCTTACAGCGTACTCATCGACTGGGACAAACCGGATTGATAGTAAAGTTAAGATATTCCCAAGTGGGATAAACACATTTCGACTACATGTAATTCAATTTGGGATACACAACACACACACCACAAGGGTTTTGCAAATTGGCAATATAAATGTTTGCGATAGCAAACGATTGTTAATGCGCAAACCCCGGGCATAGCATTACACGTACGTTATCCGGGGTGGAGATGTAGTCTCCGTGGGGGAAAGGGTACGGTTCTGGTGAAAGAATGCTGGGGCTGGTGACCATGATGACGTCAACAATTATTGTTTGGGATGCACGGGGATGTAGTGGGATAAATTCATTGCACTCCGGAGAAGTATCATTAAGGCGCCACAGTAACTCAACATTGGCATTTTAGTAGCCATAAGATTCTATTTGCTCGGAAATTCACCAATGACTAACACATGTTCATGCGCGTATTAAGTGCGCTCGGAAAGTGTCCCTCTGGACTATTTTGCTCGAAATCGATCCATTCTAATAGTGCTCGGAAATGCTCCATCGTTTGCTCACCCAATACTTCTTACTACTGTACCTGTATACACATCACAGCAAAATCTAATCCCAAGCTCAGCACTTCCTTCGTACATTTGCTGGCACATTGCAAATGGCTTGCCCATGTTCCTCGGGGTATGATATCAAAGATCGCTGGAATACCCAAATCGCATCCTACTACATAGTAGCAATGGAGGACCTGTTGAATGCAGAACAATATCCCATGGTCAGTTTGCAGTGTCGTGAAGAATACAACCGACCCCAAACGTTGTACTATTAATAGTACGAAATACTGGTCGTACCAAGTGCACATAGCATTCCACTTGCGAACGACCGATTTCCCCTGAAACATTTCGATGGTCCCAGTAAGGGGGGGGGTATGTAACGTTATATTAATTAGTCCA